TCAGTTACAAGCTAATTGAGCAAAAGGAAAACGAGATTCTCATCGCACGTATAGTATCCTGGGTCATTACGCGTAATTTGAAATGCAAAAATAAGTCGGGTTTCGGCTAAAGTTGGTTGATGCTGCAAATTCATGGGATTTACATAATTTTGCAAAGTCGGAATTGGAACCAGGCGTGACAGGTGTGCTCAATTTTAACCAATTATGCAAAATTAATCCGTTTACAACGTTATAACCTGAGGGGAAATGGATAGATTCTCAGACAAAACGAACAAATTTGAACATTTTTAAGTTCAATTATAACCCATTTTATTTAAACATTAACAGAAGCTATAAAAGTTATGGATGTACGTGTTATCCTATAAATTTTATCGAGCGTTTCTTAAGTCTATATACATAATGATATTAACAAGGTTATAAGCTAATGTTTGATATCACTTAGTTAATAGGGAAAGAATATTTACTAAAATAATACAGGAGTGAATAAAAAGAAAAATATAAGAATATCTAGACTAATTTAAGAATTATTAATTTTTTATTTAGAAATTATTAAAACTTACAGAGTCCAAGAATTTCATCAAAGCTATCAGGAAAAGAAAATTGTGATTTGTGTCTTTCTAGATGTAGAAAGTGCGTTTCATAACTTAGTACCACAATCTCTAGAGACAGATTGGTAGGAGACTTTACAAGTTGTACTTGACAGAAGAATGAAATCAACTATAACGATACGCTTCATACAGAAACGATCAGCTTTAGACTAGGGGTTGGTTATCTTCAAGATGCGTCAATTTGCAGAAAATTTTCTATATACTGAGCCTCTCCTTGTAGATTTGTAATAGGGTTTATGAGAAGAGTTGGGTTTGATTATGCTGGGTACTACGCTAACTTTACCAATAGAATATGAGCTTTGATTAATTCCATGTTTCCACGATGTTCCAATGTTGCGCCACTTGTTTAGCTCTTACTGGTGACGAAGGCAAGAATAATGCGCAGATATCTCCCATATTTTCTCTGTTGACAACTTACATTGTTTGATAATTTCATCTATAAGTATAATAAACCACCAGAACCATTACTGTTCTGCTTTATATTTGGAGAGAACGAACATCAAATATAATATTGGGAAATTTAACTATTAACTCCTTTCCTGTCTTGAAGAAATCAAGTCATCCAAAACATCATTCCAGGAATCTCGATACAGTTTGGCATAATTTGTCGTAAACCTGCTTCGCAGATGCATAACGAATCTCTATCAAAATATGAAGAATCGTGTTCTGCTTGAGTCTGGGTCATCACAATTCCTTTTAACAAATACCACATCCCTAATAAATGATTTTCTAAGATTGTTATATCTTTCATTCGTTTTAGAAATCTTTGATCTTTGACAATAACCTTTGCCAAAATTCTTTTAAGTTGTGAAATAATTTGAAAGATCGAAGAAGAAGCATCTTGTGCTCGATACAATTTACAATTTTTGTAATATAGCGGAATTAGCATCAGAGAAAGGCACGCAGTTCTATGTTAACAGTAGCGTTCTTGTTGGTGATATTCTGCGCGATGTAACTTGTGCGGTTATTTTAATGAATCCTCTCCAGTCGAGAACCGCAGAGAACGGGTTGTCGTTTATCGTATTCGGCTTAATTCTCTGAACCATCTTTGTGGATTAAATCAAACAATGATAATTAAGGGCTTGTATTTGATGCAAAGAGGTCTGAGAGGTTAGAGGTATTATCAATTAAATCTCGCTATACATTAAATCTTCCTATAATATTTGTTTATAGAACACGGAATATATGTTAATATTAAGGAAGATGTGGTCAAAGGAATCATGCTTGTTATCAAAATTTAAAACTAAACTAAACCCGATATAATTCTGAGTAGTATAACTTCTCTCTTTAATTAAATTTGAAAGGCAAACAAATCAACTCGGCATTGTAAGTATTACAAATATATGTACATACATATATAATCGCAACCGAGGTGAGTCTGGGGCATGTGCAATATCAAAGTGTAAAGAGAATTTCCAGTAATTCAAACATGAACAACACCTCCGCACTGCGATAACGGCCACACTGTCATCTTAACCTGAATAATATTTTTGGGAATATAAGCAGTACGGAAGACAAAATTTGTGAGATAAATAACTTCTCTGCATCCCCACGACGAAATCAATGCAAACGATATAGGCGGGGCTTTACACTGCTGAGGCGAAATTCAAGCCAACAACAAAGTCCACTGTGTTTAAAGAAGAATACGAGAAGTTCTAACGATAAACCCGAGATGTTTTATAGCTGTAGAAATAAGAGATTTAATATGATCGTTATATAGAAACCTGGAATCTAAAATAACACCATCTTTAATACTGCAGGATCTAAACTAACCCAAATTTGAGAAAAGGTGTAATAATCTATTTCTACATTTTTTTTCTGTTATTCGCAACCACATCGTTAAAATGCCATCGGTGCTACGTCTCGTACTTTTACTGGCGAGATCGATAATCACATCTTTAACTCATTTAAATCAATCATTTAATAGGATGTTTATTTCAACATATTGTTATATTTGGAATTTATGATTTTGATCTGCGTGGATAGATTGCAGCAGGGGATGCAGATCTCTCGCAGAAGAAGAGGTCGCAAAGTAACCATTTATAATAACTAAGCAGTCACCATGCTTCTGCAGCTATAACACTTCCAAAACATTCCCTTGTTTTTCCTTTGGAAGAATATGATAAAAAGTAGCTCATTTTCCAGAAAATCACAAACCGATAGGTTGGTCATCATAAAACGTGAGATATCACACTCTAAATTAGGCTGAGAGTCTATTAATCACTCTTACAAGCTCCGATGAAGTTTAAAAAGCATCAAAAACAGTGCGTATGATATTTCAAACATCGAATATATGCATATTTGAGTTTGGTTTCGGTTAGCATGTTCTTAGACTTCAAACATAACAATCTTTGGTTAGAAATTAACCGTTAATTTTTATCATCGGCCAACCAAATATCAATCCATATAAAGCCAAGGTATTAATTTTTGAACGATATACGTCATCATTACGTGTCATTTTGGTATCTTAGTTTTGATGTTTAATTTAATTTGTTATTAAATAAAGAGGAATTAGACAAGAAAATAGTATACATATTAAAAAATCAATACCATTACCTTTATAATAAGTTTGAATTGAAATAAATCCCGAATAACCCGTTCATTGCGAATTTCAAAACTTTTCGTCTCATCTCGACTAAACCTTGCAATTAGGAACGTGACATTAACAAAGAAATTCGCTGGTTGTACAAAATCGCCTGTTAAGTACCGTTTTACTCAAAAGAGACTTCGTAGTCATTTTGTTTCCTTGTAACGATTTTTTAACACGCCACTTTTCCACGAAACGATTTTGAAGTGACGGTTTGTCGATCGATATTCCATTCTGTAGGTTTGCAAATTAAAGATTACTTTAGAATTTTAAAGGATAAAGATTTTGATTAAACGATAAAGATTTAAATATGCAGATGATTTCGTTAATGTATAATTTCTCACTAAAAAATGAAAAAATGAAATGTCTTAATGATTTACGACGAACAATTGTAAATATTCTTATTTATACAATCGATTCATACATGCAGGTTGAAACTAAACATATTTTAATTCTTCCCTTTAATTTAGAACTCTTCGTCCCATTGGACTTTGAGAGGATAATTTCAGGTCTCGGTCTGTTTGTATTCCATCAAAGGCCCCACTGACTAATAACATTATCGATTCCTTTTCAGCGACCATCTGAGACTCCACAGTTTCAATTTCATTGGTTTTAGTTCGAATAGCAATTGATCTTTTGATTTAAAAGTTAGACGTATTTTTTTGCCGTTGGAACTTCTTTTTGGGTTTTAAATTAACAAACATCAATCGATACCCTTTTTCTTTGTCCCACGATACTTGTTTTTTTTATTATGAAACCAAATAAAGCACTTTATACTTGGAAGTTATCGAACTCACGAGAAACAAATCGTTTCAGTAAAAAACCTTCAATTATCGACGCACGAAAGTGTGATAAATGGTTGAAAGACCGAAAGAATTCGTTAACAGACGGTGGATAAATTGCAAACGAACTCGTACATTAATCAAGTTTTGTAGCAGTTTTTAAATTAACATGTTAAAGTTGGAATGTTTTTTTTTTCGATATTTTAAACTTGGTGAAAAATCGTACAATTTTTATTAATAGATGATTTATATCTCGAATTTAAATCAATTTATTTTAAGATAAACTATAACAACCTGGAGGTTAATTTATTAATTAGATTGGAAGGAAATTTTCTGCATTCTTGACGGCGTGACGTCACGAGTGGTCCTTCGAGCTGTTCTTATTGACTTTTGGGTATAACGGACACACCCTTCTCTGTATTAATCCCTTCTATTTAGGTTTTACTGTAAAAGATTTTCTAAAAATGTTTTAAAAATTTATTGTTAATCTACCCCTAATTATGTTTGTGTTCCATTTAATGAGCTCGCAGAAATTATATCAACCACGCAATCTCAACTTGTATATACTACGTGGAAGTTGCACGGTTCCGAGTAATAAATCACGAAACCACCACCGTCTCGTCGTATCGTTGAGAGACGGTATTGCACGCGAAGAACCACCCCCTAACGACGATTACGTGATGGAAACGTCGGGTCGTTCCGACGATTTTCATCGTGAAAAATCGGAAATCGACACCCTTAAAGTTACTACACCTTGAAACGATCCTCCAAGTATTGTAGCTTTCTTAGAACAATCGTTTTTTATTGTTTCTGTAGGTTATTCCAACATCAAGATGCACTTTACCAAACCATTTTATGAATTTCCGTTTCACTTATGGGAGAAGGAAAATTTAAATTAAATCGCTATTTTGAATGAAACATTGTTTTCCCCAGATTCGTGTTCAATACAAAAACAAATTTTAAAAGTGTAGCTGAGTTTAAAAATAGAAAAATATTAAATAAATTTCTTTTCTATTGTTCTAGGTGACTTGAATATGCAAGAATAAAAAGCATTATGTGCTTATTGGAGAAAAGAAGTTGGAGGGAGTTATTTTGTTCCAGTTCTCGAGAACTTTAAAGCTTGCCCCGGGGCGGGTTGCGGGATTTTGGATAGAAGACATATGTCAAGATGTGAAGGAAATGTGGGTTCCAAAGCGAAAATAGGGACTCGGAAGTATGGCCAGATCAAATCGGCCTTTGAACAGTCTGGGATTCAAGCTGCCCTGACAATAATACACAACTTCTAAATGAGACATGGTGGTAATTAAAAATTAAATTCTCGAATTTTATTTAAATATATGTTCGGTTAATTAAACTGGAAATTAAACTTCCTTCCTACATGACAAAATTGCTTCAATTTAGACGTGGGAGTTTTTTAATTACGGCCCAAAAAGCAATTCGGTCGTTTGCGTTAGCACCTCTCAAAAAATCGATAAATGTTTTCATCTCCGCTGAAATGGTAGAAAATGAAAAGCGTGATGCGAAATGTAAACAAATACACAATAGCTTTATTTTTATAGTGACAGGAAATTTATGAGACAGGCACTATTTTTTTTTTCGACTCTTCCCTGCTGGTAAATAAACCACGATGAGTTTGTTATGCATTAATTTGTCAATGCCGAATATTTTTAGAAATGAATTCGCTCGCAAACTCATTCGTCACTCATTAAATATTGACAATTCAAGTGTTTCAATCAAAATTAATTTTATTATCGAGTACATGCTTTAAATTTATCGTAAAAAAAAATTATATAATCTATTTTAAATAAAATTCGTGACATAACGAAAAACTTTATATGTTTAAAACGTAGAAAATCGTTCCTCTCGGACAACTTTCTTTCATATTTAACTTTACCAACGCAAAAGCTTTGCGAAACTTGTAAGTTAACTCCGTCATAGTATGGTCTTCTTGAATTATATAAAGTTCAAGTTTTCAAGATACTAGGAAGGGTATTAAAATTCTCAACACAAATAATTGTGCCAAAAAAAAAAACTTGGTTATAATGTGGTGATTCAGAACAAACTTGAATAATAAAATACTTGAATGAATACATGTTATGCATCACTTGTCTAAGCAACAAATGAATAATGTTGAGAAAAACGGGATTTTCGTTTTCATAAAAATATAAGACTTCCCAGAATAGACAGGCTCAAACTATTGAAAATTGTTTGGTGTCTGTCCATTTTTATCACAGAACACTGATGTGGCATAAACTCACTCACTGTAAATCGTGGCATAAATTTAATCACTAAAACTAGAGACAAAATGATGACGATTCCTGTAAAAATTTTTGAAGAAAATAATCTAGAGTTTGATTTTGTACTTTTAAACTGGTTTTTATTTTATATAGAATTTAAGTCAAACCAGTTTCGGCCCTTGGCCATCTTCAGAGACTCTACAAATAGATTAACATCTCTCATCTTATTCATTTTACAAACAAGTTTCTTAATATTTCTTTTTGTTTTGTTAAAAAAGATTTATAAAATTAAAGTTTAAAAAGTTGTAAAATGAAATTAAGGACGAAGTGTTTCTTTTATAAGAAACTTGGGAAAAATTCAAGAATCAACATGTGGCTTAAAAATCGACGATTTTTTTTTAATCAATGTGATATGACCCAAAAAAACACGTTAAAAATAAAAAGAAAGTGCGGAAAAGTGACTCCCGAAAAAAACTTCAATTATAAAACTTCTATTATATGATAACTTACTTCAGATTTAAAATGTTAACCTCAATTTTGACATATTTGTAATTATAAAAATATTTATCTTCAATATTAATGAAGTTATGGTCAACTTCCGGTTAAGAGTATCAACGTCAATTTCGACATACTTGTAATCGCCATGAATAATCCTTTAAAATGAGTCCAAACATGATACCTTTAATTCCAATATTACTCGAGATATAAGCAACTTCCGGTTTGAAATGTCAATGTCATTGTGACATATTTATTCTTAATTTTTATAAAATGTCTTAATATTTGTCACAAAAACAAATATATAATTAAAAAAAATAAAAAATTAAGGTTGGTATTAATATTTAAAAATTAATTTGCTAGATTCATTGTTGCTAACTTAGGGTTTAATGTTTTTTATTCAAACTTTTTTATTTTTTGAGATAAGTGCGTCATCTTTGGACTCATTTTAAAGGTTTTTTAATGAAGATGACAAATATGTCAAAATTGACGTTGACGTTTTAAACCGGAAGTGATTGTATTTCCATTAATATTAAAGTTAAATATGTGGTGTTTGGACTTATTTTAAAGGATTTTTTATGAAGTTGATAGATATGTTAAAATTAAAAGTTGAAAGTTCGACCTTTTTGTTTTTTTGAGATAAATGCGTCAAGTTCGGACTAACTTTACAGGTTATTTTATAAAGATTACGAATATAATAATAAAATTTAAGTTAACATTGGCAACTGAAAGGTTTTTCACGACTAAACCCGAATGCTTCTAGTTCTCGTTCTAGTTTTAGTTCAATAAAAATATACACTGCCACTAGAAGTAAAACTAGACCGAGAACTAGATAACATAATACATTATATAAAAATGATAAAATATCCAATTATTCTATAAGGTTTAAAATAATAATAATAAATTCTTTATTTATGGAAAATGGAAATTCGGAAAACCTTTTAACCCAGTACAGATTTTATACAGTAGGTGTTACATACCTATTTATTTTTTTACTATTTCATTATCATATAAAGTGGTTAAAGAAAGAGCCCCTCACGTTCTACGTGTCGTTTTGAATTCGAGTATATGAAATAAAGTTTGTGTTGTGTATTTTATTATCTCTTTATGAATTGTTTTCCCAATTGAAGTAATAAAATGCGGTTAAGCGCGGCAAATTCTAATAATTCCAATGAACAGTTATCTACCTCTATAAGTGGGTTAGTAAATAGCGAACATTTTTTGCTAAAGTTGTGTATTTAATTTCTAAACAAATTAAAACTCTTTGTGAACCAGTGTCAATACTGCTGGGCGAGAACTGCCCTTTGAAAGATTTACTTGGAACAATATACACATCAAGCGTTCGATTTTATGGAGTTTCCCAGTAAAAGAATAGCAGCATAGAGAAAACGGTGTTAAAGATTATTAATGAAAAGCTGCAAAGTTCCAATTACTGACGATTGTATAGACCCTTGTCGCACAGTGGGCAGCTACGAAAGCAAGGGTTGAAGTGGGGTGGGGAAGTTGCCCTGGGCTGGTATAGTTAAATTCGTTAGTTATGAGTCTCGGGACAAGGTTATGAAGGAAAAAGCAAAGTTAAAAGCTTCTCGTATGGCCGTATATGAAGATTTAATATTCTCTCAAATTTTTGTACTAAAATATCTTTTATATTGAGTAATACAATCCAACTTCAATATTACTCAATTTAACTTCTTTGTTTGGTTTAGTCCAAATTATGGATTCATTCGCACGTGTAACCCGTTTGTGTGTCGATTTAATTGACTTAATTTTGCTTTCGAATCAGGGTTCATATCTTAATTAAACTATCTAACATGTATATGTACCTATCTGACCACGAGTTAATTAGGGGATACGAATTAAGATGTCTACATAGTTTAAACGTTACATTTATGTAATCTACGATGATAAATGTTTGAAAATGTTGCGCACACATGAAATATATCTCCGACTTGAACTTAAAATAGTGTCCTCTATCATTTCCGAAAATTAGGAATAATTATTCTGCGACACTCTGTTTAATTAGGATATTTATTCTAACTGTTGTTGATTAATCATTTTAACATTGGCACTACAGTCTTGTAAGATCATCCTGTAATTCATTGCGAATTTTAAAATAGACGTCGGGTTAATTTGTCAAAAATACACGATGTGAAACTGGTTATCTGAACGTGAGGAGTCTCATTTTGAATAAAGGAAAAATGTATGTACATATTCGCGAATAATAAAACTGAATATTAAAAACGGTAGCGAAATTTGAAACACGAATGCTGAAGTAGCGAATGTCGCTGTCCTACTGTACAAATATTTTTCTTATCTAAAGAAAGAAAAATAAAATCTTTTTTCTATTACTTTTAGTTAAACACTGAATGGGCTCAAGTTGAAGTAATCGATTTAATAAACGACGGATCTGGATTAGCATTTGGAATAATTGGTGGAAGAAGTACTGGAGTTGTTGTAAAAACAATCGTACCTGGTGGTGTTGCCGATAGGGTATGTTAAAAAAAAGATTTTAATGATAAAAAGTTATTGCTGTTTTAATGAAGATTTATTATTGGGAGGGTTATATTTTTTCATTTTTCTTTATTTTTGTGAGATTTTCGTAATGAAATCATTTCGCAAAGCCCTGACGGGCAATAAAGATGGGGGAGAAACAATGGAGATCCAATTAGCCTTAATGCAGAAATCTCGTATTTCCTTTATTTAAATACGAGGATCGCGAAAAGGGATGAAATAACACTTTTTTCTAAGTTATGTGTTTATCCCGTTTTACGAAAGTTAAATAAATGTGGTATATTCAATTGATGTTTAAATAAAATTCCAGTTGGTATTATATTTTTTAATATAAAATTAATTAAACAAACAGTGAGTTCACTGAAATTTTATTTTAAAAGGATAATCCTTTTAGTACGCAAATAGAGAGAAAGATATATGTGAAATGGAAATTATTTCAGATGGAAATTAGTTAAATTAATAATAAATGGGACATGTTACGTTTATTATGAAGGATGTTGTGTTAAATTTCTATATGAAATAATTTAATGTAACTCAAATATAATGTAAATATAAAGAGATTATTATTATTTGTGTTTAAAAATTTTTTTGTTTTGTTAAATTCTAGTTTGTAAATTGGTTTTATGTTTACAAGCTTTATTGAATTTTATACTTTATCATTGTAAAATACAATTAAAATTTAATTAATTAATTCAATAATAGTTTCGCTAAAACTATAAACAATAAAGTGCAGTTTTAATTAGTTTAAGTTTTGAAGTACAGATTTGATATGAATGCTTGGGACGTTTCTATTAATGAAAAATCCATCACTTGCACGTGTCCTTTATCTATTTTATACGTTGTTTTCAGGACGGTCGTTTGCAGAGCGGTGATCACATCCTACAGATAGGGGAAGTGAATCTCAGAGGTCTCGGGTCGGAGCAGGTGGCCTCCGTGCTCAGACAATGCGGCGTCCACGTGCGAATGGTAGTTGCGAGACCGATCGAAATATCGTCACAGGAGTTTCAGGTCAAAGTCAATAGAAAATTGAGAACGATTCAATTTTCTTACTTCTTACTAAAACTTTTTTTTTTAATCTTTAGGGATTGGATAGCCAAGTTCCAATCGTCCCAACTAAAATACTAGGGGATCCAGTTGAATTAGATAGACATCTAATTGAAAATGGATTTGGGGATATCTTCTCAATACCGTCCACAAATTTTACGACGCCGTTTATCTATACGGGTCAACAAACCGATATTCAGCTACACGTAAGTTATTTTGATCACACCAACTTTTATATGTTAATTAGGTGCGGTAATGGTCTTGTTGTTACTAATTGGAGTTGTTTGTAGACTGTTCCCCGATTAGTGGACGTGCGAAACTCCACAAACGGGACGATAACAGCGCAATTCCAGGACGTCGTACAACCGCAGCTTGTGTCGTTTGCTAAAACGATAGCGATCGAAACTGAGATTGAGGAAAATCCTCTCCCGGAAACGGAAATGTACACGGTACAACTGCGGAAAGACGACTTGGGACTAGGGATCACTGTGGCAGGATACGTTTGCGAGAAAGGTGAGTGATGTTTCCTCAAATCTATTAATATTTAATCATTTTCCCTTAGTCTCTGCTAAAAGGTATTATTCTTATGATTTTCAGAAGAAATATCCGGGATTTTCGTTAAAAGTATTAGTAAAGGAAGCGCAGCAGATATAAATGGCAAAATCAAAATTAACGACCGTATCGTTGAGGTAAGCAAAATCCGTAACGACATCAATCTCCATTAATAAAACGCGTTAATAACGCACCACGATTCGTCAAATTAACGCTTGGAAAACCTGTCACAACCGCATCGAGACCGTAACCCGCTTTTCCTGTTTTTCTCTCCGGTTTTTTGTTCGTGGGTGTTATCCACGGTTCGACGGTTTGATGGGTTAATCAATAATCCCGTTGTTATATACAGGTGGATGGATGTTCGGTTGTTGGTCAAACAAACCACCAAGCCGTGGAAATGTTAAGAAATAGCGGTTCAACCGTGACAATCACCCTCGAAAGGTATTTGAGAGGTCCTAAATATGAACAACTACAACTAGCTATTAGAGCAAACGAACTGAAACCTCCATCGCCGCCTTCACCTTCAATTTCATCGCTGCCAAAAATACCTTTAAGTTTAATGGTAAGTTAAAAAAATGTTTAATTTTGTACAAAGGCTGCAAAGATAAAATAATTGAAAGAAATTATGCTTTCTGAAAAGGAGTTTTTCGTATATTGCAACCAATGCTTGTTTGCACAACTCTGTTAAACCTTATCCTACTGGTTCAAACTCGAAATTCTATTCGCACATGTTCAATAATGCAAGTAAATCTATTGACATGTGAGTACATTATTTGACATGACTATAACACGAGTTTCTAGTCAATTAGAAACTATTCTGCGAATAAACCTGTCACTATTGGTTTATTGATTGTTTAATGTTTTGAACTGATTGAAAACCAGTCATCTAAAGACTTTTTGACACGATGTGTTACAAAGAATTTTGCACTAAATTAAGTTATTAAGATAGTTCTTAATTTGGGATCGTTTTAGTACGCAACATATCAGTAAGTGGTTAAGGCAAACTTTGTGTTTATTCCATTTTGCCTCGGGGATTAATAAAAACTAGTGACCCAACGTGATTGAACAAATAATGGGAGAAGCAGACTTTAGCGTAATGCTAAAAATTCAAATCTACCAAATCTGTACACAATCATGAATTCGCAAATCTTGCAAATATCTATATATTACCCATAACCATAATTCGTAAGCATTGATCTATGAACTGAAGCACAATTGTATTGGAAGGTTGTCGACTCGGAAGTATTGTGAGAAAATTCGAGACATTCTCCTACTCAAAGCTGCACAGGATCAAAACATCTCAACATTTTTTTGTATAGTTTATGGTAACAAGATCCGCAATGACAAATTAGCCACAATGCACCACATTACCTGTGGTGCATTGTGTCAAATCACGTAATCGGTGTCAACCTGTTTCACCACTACAGATTGTTCGTCGATATACGTAATCGTAATCGACACCAGAAGGATAACTTAACGTACCTAAAGATCCAGGGTCGGTAAGTTATCTGAATCAAGTTACGCTGCTTGAACTTAGAACGAACCTAAGCCGCCAAAAAGAGTTCATTTCTATCGCCGATACATAGCTACAATCTCAAAGGAGTGCGATTCTGTCAATTCGTGTTAGTGAAATGAAAATGAAATGTCTGGTATTCAGTACTTCCGGGAATCAACCCATCTAAAACCCAACGCACGCTTCACTGAATTAATTAATCTCCTAAGATAAAATTTATCGAGAGAGACAAAACTCTGGAAACTGCATTTAACAGTTCTTTAGAGGTTACCATCATTGCAAAGCAGCAACTTTTTGTATCATTGTTGTCATAAATCACAATAGTTAACAGTTATTCAGTGAAAATTGCATGATTTTAATTCTTTACCCACATTCTCCCACCGATTTGCCGTTATACCATTATTTTTGACCTTTATGATGCAAATATTCTTCGAAGTGTCTTCGATTCCTCTTTTTAAAGTCTTAGTTCTTCATAATCAACACTGTTGCTTGTTTTTGAACAACCTCTTTTTGAAGTCTTAGTTCTTTATAATCATCGCTGTTGCCTTTAAGCATCCTTAAGCAACTCTGTTGGGTTGGGTTGGATTGGGTTCGTTTGGGTTGGGTTGGGTCAAGATTAAATTGACATACATATTCTTCGAAGTGGGTTAGGTTTAGCGAAAAACCACACAAGTTTTGAAAAACACCTCTTTTTGAAGTCTTGGTTCTTCATAATCAAAAGGAAGTATTCTCAAGCAACACTATTGGCATATCCAATAATAAACAACTTGACTTATAATGCGACACAATTCGTTTCCAATTTATTTTTAATTTTTGAATACCGTATTTTCTCGAATCTTATCCGCACTCGAATCTAATCCGCACCTCGATTTTAAAAATGCAATGATGGTAAGAAAAGTTGGTTTTCCAATGTAATCCACATCCGATTGTAATCCGCATTTGATTTTAGAGCATACAAAATTTGTAAAAAGTGTGCGGATTAGATTCGAGAAAATACGGTAGTATAACTTTAATTTTTCTTCAGGCCAAGGTACTATTGGTAACTCGAGATGTTAACTTCTAAATGTGTTGCAATTAAAGTTTGCTGAACGTAGCGAAGCGACAGTTTGCAGTCTCTGCCATATGCTAGGTCTCCTCGGATGGAGATCATAGTTCCGAAATCCAACCAACCTGTTAAACTTGACCACAGATTTTAATCTCATCGCGTTAAGCCGTCAGCAGGTGTCATATTACCATATGGGTAGATCTTGGAGACATATAGCCAGACTCGAAACACAATTCGACCAAATCGATAATTTAAATTGCTCGACTGCGTGGGATGGGCTCACTCAGTATTATTATATTTGCTCGTCAGACATGTACCACTTTTGAAATAAACACCTACCATCTACTACACGGAGTTGCTCAATTATGTCTTTGGGACATTAACACTGCGTTAGCTGTGATAGCGTCTTATTATAAATCTTGCTCAATTAGTTAACGACAATGTCTGCTTAAGACATAGGTCTTTGCCTCAGCAGTGTGTGGTCTGAAACCGAATCAATTAGGCTCGCGGAATTATGACATTATATTAGTGTTTATACCTCTAAGTGTGTTTAGTGTACTTACAGTTAGCTCTTAGAGGTCATGTTAATTGGCTTGTTTAACTAATTGTTTCTGACAAAAAATTCCCGATTCTCGAGTTCACGAGAAATTTGGTGGCAATTATATCGCACCTATACAGTCTTCGCCAGCTCAAACAAAAGTGTTGAAAGTTATAAGGAACTTTGTTAAATTTGGATAAAAGTCATAAACACTTTGTGGGTGTACTATAAAACAAGTTGCCAAAATTTATTTATTGCCCCAGAATGCACCCATACGATTATTTGGAGAATTCGTATCCAATACTGACACATGATCTTACCTAAATGGATAAGAATTGCATCTTTCTTCATTGCAATAACGCAAAAAAGATTATCTTTTCCAGTTGAAATGAGCAAAACACTTCGTTACAATTATACGACTTTTTTGGGTCTTTCATTTTATCTTTGCAACCGCAGTATACATAAAATATGTTAAGCAATCGGTTATGAATTTGAATTGCTAATTTAATTAAATAAATTTCATAAAATCTTTACGAAATTTTCGCGATCTCATTTCATTCTTACATTCCCAAAACAGATTCTTTATAAAAATATAAACCTAATAAATTTTATTTTATAAAGACTTCAAGCATTGAAGTTGATGGAGAATCAAGAACAAGTATCGATTTCGATTCTGCTATATTAGTAGAAGATGCAACAACGCCAACAAACGGCAGTGATAAGGAAATTGTTATTGATGGTGGAAAAAAGACTGTTCAATTTAGTATTTCTAGTCATGAAGCTGTACATGAAAAATGGAAAAATGTATTAAGTAATGAAGCGGAAGTCGTTGTATGTTTTTTTTTTTATTTTTTCATCTTTTCCATCTTGAATATTTTGAATTAGATTGCAGAAATGAGTAAAGATGGACATATTGGTTTAGGAATTAGTCTCGAAGGTACTGTTGACGTGGAAGGTGGCCAAGAAGTTCGTCCACATCATTACATAAGAAACATACTTCCGAACGGTCCTGTTGGGAAAAATGGAATTTTGCAATCCGGAGATGAACTTCTTGAGGTAAACGGAATCCAATTGATTGGATTAAATCATTTGGAAGTCGTGTCGATTTTGAAACAACTTCCAAATTTTGTTATGATGGTTTGCGCAAGATATTCAGTTGATACGAGAATTATTGATACGGGTCAGTGTAGGGATGCTTTTGAAGCCAGAGTGAGTTGGAATTTTGTTAAAATATCATTTTTAGCTATAAGATAAGGTTTCATCAATTTTCCAGAATATTCTCGCTGAAAGTTTACAAACTTTGATACCAAAATCGGACCGATTAGTGAAAGCTAAGTCAGATACATCGATTGCTTCAAATTCATTTGGCGATGATAATCCAAACTCTTATAACATGGGAAATCGATCTAAATCTTTAGAAACCGGATCTGGATTTCCTATGTGGAATAGTGAATATACTGAGGTTGTTTTAAATAAAGGTGATTTTGGATTGGGATTTTCAATTTTAGATTATCAGGTAATGTTAATGACAATTTTTGGATTTCTTAAAAATATATTTATGTTTTTAGGATCCTTTTGATCCAACAAGAACAGTTATAGTTATAAGATCTTTAGTTCCTGGTGGGGTTGCTCAAGCTGATGGGAAACTTATACCAGGCGATCGATTGATTGCGGTTAATGATATAATTGTTGAGCACACATCTTTGGATAGAGCTGTCCAAGTATTGAAGTCTGCGCCGAAAGGAATTGTTAAAATAAAAGTTGCGAAACCGCTTTCTTCAATGGATAACATTTCCCATCATAGCCAGGTAGTTTAGCACGTAATTATTATAAAAACCAATATAAAGTAGGTCGAAAATATTTCTTTTCGGGTGAAAAATCGTTACTCTTTGCGCCATCTTTTGCGGGTGGATTAAAGCGGGACGATTTCCTGTTGGTTACCTGCAAAGTTGGTTTTTATTGATTATTTTTTATGTACATTAAAAAAGTTAAGAATTTTTTTTATCGATTTACCCATGCGGAACGTTTTACATTTTAATTCAATATAAAATGTAATTTTTTTAAAACGCGTTTTTTTTTTCCAAATCGGTGTGAAGTGTATTAAAAAAGTAAAGTTGGAAAAGTAACACCAGCTTTTTTTAGTGCATTCGAAAAATTATTGATGGGTGGAGAAGAGATATTGAAACGATTTTATGGGTAGGTATCCATGTTTATCTTTTTCAGAAAGAAATTATGAATACAAAAAAATTTATTGTTCCAGGAACGGGTCTAAAATATATAAAACTTTTTGGAAGATATCAAAAAACGAATAAAATCAAACATGGATGATTTCGATTCATATTTAACCGGAAGTTCTCTATTAGTTTTTAAATTAAAAGTCAATTGTAAAACTATAAATGCAAATGTAATCAAATATAAATAAATATATCGATGTTTAATGCTGTCTTAATTTATCAGATATAGATAGATAGATTTTCATAGATAGAATCCAACTTGATTTATTTCTCAAGTTGCTCTATTCCATGTACATAGATAAGCTCGGGGTATTCCCCGGGTTGTCTATACGATGTAAAAATCACTGATGGTAGTTCTAGTTTTGCTATTCAGCGTTAGATTGTTGTATATTCTTCATTGAACTAAAACTAGAACTAACACTAGACCTAGACCTAGAAAGGTTGGAGTTTAGCTGTGCGTCTGAAGACTACGTTCTAGTTTTAATTGTTGTTTAGCGCTAGATTGTTGTTAATTCTTATTGAACTAAAACTAGACCAAGAACTAGAAACATTTGGATTTAGTCATTAGTCTGTTAAGACGGCTAAACCTGAATGTTGCTGCTTCTAGGTCTGGTGTTAGTTCTAATGATATTAAACTAGAACTAACACAAGACTAGAACTAGAAACATTCGGGTTTAGCCGTCTTAAGAGACGTACGGCTAAAGCCGAATGATTCTAGTTCTAGGTCTAGTGTTAGTTCTAATGCTAGTGTTAGTTCTAGTTTTAATTGTTATTCAGCGCTAAATTGTTGTATACTTTTATTGAACTAAAACTAGAAGTAATATTAGACCTAGAACTAGAAACATTCGGGTTTAGCCGTCTTAAGAGACGCAAGGCTAAACTCGATTAATATCTTTATTTTATATTATGAACCTTAAGTCCCAAGCTAACAACATCACAAAACACCAATAGAATAAATTAAGCATTTGCTGATTGTGAACATGACGTCACGAATAGGCTTTCGACCTACCTGTTTCCGAGATTTATATTATTCCTGCAAACTTTTAGTCTTTTGGCTATAACAGTCACTTCCTTACCCGTATTAGTCCATTTTATTTTATTTTAAGATCTTTAAGAACTATGCTCAAAGAAAAATAAATCACCATAAACATAATAATCTTATGGCTAATTTGAGTTCCATTAGAGTATAAACACAATTTGGCAACAAACTTCTTAAATAAAATTTATTTTACTTTTCGTCGGAAATAGGTCAGATAATGAGGTGGTTTCTATTTATTTGTCTCCGTCTTGGTTTGTTTAGGATACAGACCAGGAAGATCAGACCTACTTGGACGAGTTTCAAGAATGCATCGAGGAGTACCAGGAATGTCTGGAAGTGGTCCAAATCTGCATAGATGAGGACGTTTCATTCAGCCACTCGTCCAGTGCCGCCTGCCCCGACGAGCTACCACTTTCGGTCAACCACCGCGGAGTTTCCTCTCTTCAGGGTGCTGTTCCGTGTTTACTTGGCGTCGCGACCGATAACCAACGAAATAACGGTAGTGAACTTGATTTGAGTTTCAAGAGCACGTGTGATTTGAATGGTAAAGATTTGTTAAGAACTACTGAAAGTGTAGTGACAAAAATGGATTTTGTGGGTAGTGAACCGAGTCGAGTGCAACAACAAGAAGAAACATCGGAAAAAGACGGATATGAAACGTGCGTGGACGAATCGTTTTCGGATGAAGGTAGTAAAGACAATGAAGGTAATGAAAAAACACCAACGAATTCAATCGATAACATCAAAAGTAGTTCTTCTTCTGAACCATACTTAAAGAATATCGATGTTGATTACGCGAAAACCAATCACATTTGTTTTGATTCAAAATTAGATGAACTTTCCTCTTTCGATCATCATCAAGATATTTCTGGTGATGAATTCTTTTTAGTGCAATGCTCAAAGGATGATTTACCGGTTTTAAAAGCGGACGTTTTAAAATTTTGTAGTGATTCTCGCGTTTTAGAAAGTTCCGATTCCACTCCGACTGTTAAATATAGAAGATGTATCAAAGAATATTACAATGATTACGCCGATTGTTTAGAATCTTATAAAAATTACGTACAAAAACTAAACGAAATCGGTAAACAATCTTCTATCGAAATGAATGATGACGATATTTTTAACGACATCATTTTACCGCATAAAAGCAAATCAGCACCCGATATACTCGATAATAGTTTTGTGACTATGACCTATGATCCTGGACCTGATGTAAGCAGAAGAAAATCAGTTTTTATTTCTGGATATGCAGACGAAAGGTAAGTTATAATTACTTTTTAATGATTTTTTTATGGATGAATAAAAAGAGTGTTAATTATAACCCAGTTAACGCGAGATGTTAGGTGTCCATAAAATTTGTTTACTTTCGCGAGTTCCAAATTTTCTCACCGACGTTTCACGCATCATCAGGTTTAAAAATAACTTTCGAATGAATCACTTAATTAAAAATGAGAAGTTGTTTTCAATTGATTTTTTAAGTTTATTTTAAGCATTTTAAACAATTTTTTGCAATTTCTTACAAGTATGTGAGATTTTTAATTTGTAGAATCAATAGCTGCAATTATTTGGTGAATAAAACTGAGACAGGTTTTTTGGAATTGTAAAATATTTAACACATTATTTACATTTTCGTTTACTTTGCAAAATTAGAAATAAAATTGTCGACTGTTTATTACCACGTTTATTGACTTTAACTTCTAAGTGTCTGGCAAGATAAACAATTTCTTGTATCACGTGGGTGGTTAAGCAGTTCTTTGAATTATTTCTGATTCGATTTTGGTTTTTCTTGGAAAAATCGTCTCAAAATTTTCCTGAAATTCTTTTATAATATTGAAATGTTTCCAAAAAATGAACGGTCTTAATAACTGAAGCTGCCACAATCGCATTATCATTTGATTTCTAAATCACCGATAAGCTAATTTTAAATACACTTGTTCAGGTTCCTAAGTTTTTAGATAGGTAAATTCTTGTTTTACCGAAAATGTAGGATGTTGAATATCAATTTTAGGCTTTTTTAATGATTTTTAACAATTTAGTAGGTGACCCTTTATGGTAGATTATGAATTTCAAAAAATAACGTGTTTTGAGCAATATTTTACTTTTGCTAAATTTACTGTTGATAGTCTACAGGAACATCACCAACATTTTACGTATCTGAATAACGCTTTTTATTCTTTAAAGTCAAGGTCGCTTGCCCGAAGCGCTACATCAATACAAAATCAAAGATTAAACAGAAAACAAGATGTGACGCTTCGTGTCGGTACCTTTGATGTAGGGCTGCTATTTTTTATGACCTTGAACGCTATGGACTGCTATGGAAGAATAAGAAGATAAGTTCGCGAGTATTTCCAACATTATTACTGTATTAATCCAGTTGGTGCAAACCAATTGAACTCCTAGAAGGGTTACAGCATTGATAGACTAAATGATCCTCGGAATATTAAAGTTTCTGCAAATCAAGAATCTGTCATTGAGGTGTCGCTCAAAGTACCTTTGTCGTGTGGCAGATATAAATTCGAGAAGCACCATTTTTTAACATAACCTTGAAACCAATCCAGTCCCTTCACACAGGAAGTAGATTAAGAAACAAAAATTTCATTTTCTATATATTACTTTTTATATACATCTATATACTACACAAATGTTGGAGAAAAATTTCGTAGAGCCTCTTTCAGGATAGGTTTTCGTAAGATCCTTAAGATTTTATGAGTCTAGATATATTTATACTCCTTCTCGTTAGCTGGTCATCAATCATACATTTGTTGGACAAATCATCAGTAACGAACTCTTGACGAGATCTAGTTAGTAAGGACCACGACATGGTAATTGCAGTAGCAAGGATACGGACTTGCTTCCAAAAAAGATTCCAATCTTACCTACACCTCAATAACATTTTTTTTATAAAATAGTTTCTAAATTTCCTTACAACATTAGAATGAAATTATTTCAGTTTAAATTTTCCTAGATTTGTGTATTCCCAAAGTGGCTGCAAACTCTTTAACCATTTCTCAAATTATAGTTCCAGAAAGATGAACGTTTTTGTCACGTCCTCTAGTGACCCACTTCAGCATAGCTTCATCAATATTATTGTTGACATAGTTATGAGTCTTTCTCGTTTATTTTAAAAACCACCTTTTTTCATAAACTTGCCTTTGTTTTCGTCGACAATGCACTAAGGGGATCACGAGTTGTTGATTTTCTTTTTATTTCCTACCGCCAAAATTAATTTTAATTCCTCAGTGAGCGATAACTTTTTATATTGTGCTTTATTATTTTTAATTTTCTCACTATCCACCGTACTCGTATTACCCACCGAGAATCTACGATTTCTTTACCGTTCGTCAATCATTTTTTTATGTCACGACCGCAAATCGGCGAATACCCGGTATAATTCAGTTTTTATTACAATCGCAAATCGGTAAATCCCCGAAATAAAGAAAAATGATTTGAAATAGTCGAGTTACAACTAGGAGTATTATATTAGTTCGAGAAGTAGAATAATCGAAAAATAGGAATTCTAATTAAACTGATAAAAGCACCTTATAATCATTTCTACCTTTTATCTCATCGTGCGCATCCTTAACACTCCAGTAGTCGCGCCTCCGGTTACTACAAGAGTGGGCGCATGTCATCCCTTAGATGACTTTTCAATGCATGCAAAATATATTATATATATTTTTATGTTGCAAAAGTATTAACAGGTTAGTCCAGGTAGACTGTCTACGTCATCTCTTAGATGACATGCGACTATTGGAGTGTTAAGGAGTTAGACCACTCTAAACCGTCGAATTTTATACTTAATTTTTAGTTTTTTTTCCAGAAATACAATAAAAGATAGGAAAAAAATTGTTTGTATGTACTTTTAGGAATACGAAACATATTTTACTAATTAAATTAAATAAATAATGACTGCTATGTAGTTGCTTGATAAAAACCCTGTTACATTTTTTGCAACTCAAAAGCTACAGAAATGCGTACGGAGTTTTTTTTGTTTAACTTTTTGCGAAAATGGTGGACATATTACAAAAACTTTGCGTTTTAGTCAAAAAATATAAGCACTAAAGAATTATGCATAAAGAATTACGCATCATATCAAAAAATCTATACGTTTTTCTCTAAATAATGTTACTTATAATTAGAAGTTACAGTTAAAATTTCATGTAAATCGATAAAAAATTGTGTCTCTCGTCACCGCGTCCTATAAGATCTATCGTAACTTACCCCCTTCATTTGCCCTCCAATGATAGGGCAAAACTAGTCCTTGGCGAATCTTATTATTGCTCGAAGGTCTTGTTCCTTATGTCAGTAGGTGTCAGGCAAACCTTTCCGAAAATGTTGTGCCTTATGCGATCTCTAGCGATGCAATCACCCAGAATGATCAGCAGTTTCTGACTTGTCGTTGCAAAGTTGACAAGTTTGATCCTCAGCTGGTCCAACGTTGAAGAGATGGTATTTTGTAGTCAACAGCTGGGTTGGGGGTCTAATAAAGGGCGTTTTCGCCACCTCTTTGACCAGCTTGTCCACCTTTTCATTATCAACATTGTCTTTGTGACGTGGAACCCACCATAGGGTAAATTCATTACCCCTGGCTAGTTTTCTCCGGTTAGTGTAGACATGAATTGCCTTTAGAGCGGTCCGACTGTTCGTAAAGATGTTTATCGATTCCCCTTTCTGTCCCTTCTTAAGGTTATTAAATTAAACAGTGCAGAAGGTGGCATCCAACTGTCTTTAAAGCATAGCTGTACCAGACCAGGGCGCTTCTTTTGAGTTGAAGCTCACAATGCGTCAATTTCCCGTACAATTAGCCTTTGAAGTTCACGTTTTCTTCTTTTTTTCTCAAAGAATTGTGGATGCCCTGGCGGTTTTTGCTGCATCGGACAGCAATTTTTCTGCCTGTAACACTCGGCTTCGACGCAAAGTTGTAACAATTTAGTCCAATTTTAATGCCTAAAACTTCCATTATATCCAAAATCGTCTTTGCCACTAGACTTGTCTATTGCCACTAGATTTTGTATTATTGGTCATCGCCCAGACTGGAGTTGAAGCTGTCATTTCGATTTTGAGTATAAGCACCTATGCATTGATTTTAGAGCTTCAAACACTTCCTGGGAATGAATTGGTTTATGCTGATGGTCTTTCAAGGTATCAGCGACATTAATTCGCTGCCACGACAACGTTCGGGATCAAAATACAGGCACTTAAAAAAAAAACCTTTTATCTTATTTTTAAGATCCTAAGGCACATTTTAAGCAAAAAAATCTTTTTTTTTTTTAATTCTAGTGTAGTCTAACCCTACGGCGTTATACGTAGCAGTCGACTGCTATCGCAGTAAACTTAAAACTAAGCTGCTGATTACATAACCTAATGTAAAAGTATATCTAATTCCAAAAACTTGGCAGTTTTTTATTCATCAAATTATTGCACAAAATTAAATTGTTAGTAACAATTTTCAAATTAGTTACTAAATTATCTCGAAATCTGAGATGATTATAATGTAAACTAAATATTTTTATAGATCTGTGTAATTTTATTATTTTAATTCTTTTTACCCGAATGTATTGTTTTAAAATTTGTGTTTCTTTGATTACGTTTAATTTAAAATTTTCGTTTTCAGATGAATTTTTGAACCTAATTTTACTGTAGGAAATATTAAATGAGTTTTGCTCAAAATAACATCCCGTTCTGTTTTGATTTTAATGCGTACAATCCGGTCTGATTTGCTTCAGGTTCTAAAATTGAAACTACCTACTTGAATTATGTAATGTTTTCGAAAAGATGTAGGCAGAACTCCCCACAATCAATTTCGAACTAAAAAGATGTTTTATTTTCGTAATTTTTTGTTATTTTTTGCTTCTTGTTTTTCATTTTGATTTATTATTCCCCGTTTATTTTTGTATAGAAAGTATCACCACAAGTAATTGGCAATTTGGCAAGGAATCGTCGATGCGAACATTATATCTCCAGACGACGGGTTTCGCTTACGCCCACGCTTTGTCTGTCAGAAAGCCCTGCCACCTACAACAAAGTTTACAAGCAAATTTTTTTCTTTCTTTCGTTTTGAATGATAACCGAGGGCAACGACCAATACTTTGTTATTCAACAAAGTTAAATGAAAATTTATACCCTTCATGTTTGGATGTGTGCCAAAGTAATCGATAAAACAACTTATTTCTGGATCGTAATTTACTATGGTCGCATTTGTAATTGATGTTCTTCGAATCACTTTAAATTATTTTATCATTTTTTTCTTAAATTATAATTCTTTTTGGATCTAATTTTCTAGCTGTTTTGCTTCTGCGCGATCACGAAGCCATACCATAAGGACATACCTACAATAATCCTATTACTTTAGATTTTAATGAGATATTGAGCAAACGACATTTACGTGTGTTCCCTTTTTTCTTTTTGATTCAGTTTTATATTTGACGTTTTGTAGGTCAAACAAAAATTACATGACAAAATCGTCAATTCTTCATTCTTACTAAAATATTATTATATTTTGACTAAATTTTCAAGAACTTTATAAAGTGCAAAAACATTTTCTACTTCTCTTAACAATTTTATTTCTATAAACTTTTATAAATGGTTAAAAAGCTTTTTCTTGTTTACCGAACTTATTTTATAGGTATGTAAATAAACGTACTCATATATACAGCGTAACAACGCGCTGCATCCCTACTTTCGCGACGCTTGATTGGATTAGAAACGTTCGAGCGTTGCGTGTAGCGTCGCGACGCCAGTCGACGTCTTTCGTTACTCAAAGGTGCGCGTAACGACATCGGAAAGTTCAGGTGTTTGTGTTATTTTCGTCTATTCTGATGATACGAATATGGAATGATTCGTTAACGGTGTGATTATTTACTTCTTCGTTTTTTTTTTCGTTAGAAGTTTATTAGGTATTTTTAGTGTTCTTGGTAAAAATTATTTTTAATTTTATTTTACACAGCCGTAATTACTGAAATCGTTTCAGAAAAGATATATTTGTAAATAACGTGTTTGATAGCTGATATGTCAATTATCGAGATAAAATGAAATTGAACGATATTCACTGGGACATTATATTTAAATCCAAAACAAATTAACGACTTTATCAATAATCTCTGTGATGTAAAATATAGCAAATTTTTATTTTGAATTCCCGTACAAATTTATCTTTGTTAATCTAAAAACCATAATCGAATACACAATTTGAAAAATATTACTACAGCAAACGATTTCGTTCGATCCTTGACGTCATCGCATCTCTTAAAATCCAAAATTGTTTCAAGAATTCACATTATTATAGTTAATTTAAACGTTTCAAATGGGAAAAGAAGTTACAATTATTTTGTACTTGTTTTAGTGATTCAATGACTGTTATAAGAGGTTTAGATACAAATTTTCCGACATCGAAACCCAGCGAATTACCCGGAATGCTGCAAAAGCATTGGGGTTCGATAAGAAAAGTCGAAATAGGAAAGGAACCAAATGCTAGTATAGGAATAAGTATTGTTGGCGGAAAAGTTGACATAAATAACGATTCAAATTCAGAATCTTTATTGGGTATATTTATAAAGAATGTGGTTCCGGATAGTCCAGCTGGTCGATCGGGCCAATTAAACGTAAGTTAATTACGCGACGTTGGAAAACGCATGGTTTCTTTTATTACCCCCTTTTTTACAGACCGGTGACAGGATACTAGAAGTAAGCGGCGTTGATCTAAGGGAGGCCAGTCATGATAAAGCAGTAGAAGCCATACGAAATTCACCTAATCCAGTAGTTTTCCTCATACAGTCTTTAATTCCCTGGGTAAGTATCTAAGCATTTTTACAAAACAACGATCTTATTAACAAATTACGTGCCCGTTTTTGATAGGGCGTTGAAAATTGTCAAGATATCGACGAGAAAGATAATTATGAAGAGGAAGATAGAATTGCACCTGCTCAATATACAACTAAAGAACCAGTAAATATCATCATTTTAATAGGGTGATTCGGTATTCATGCGACAAATATTTATGAGAAGGTGATTCTTTGGCGAAAACTTAAGAATTCTAGAATTCCTGAGTCCAAGGTGTATTCCAAGAGAATCTTCTCAACCTAAATAAGTAATATGACTGACAATCCAGGATTAAGTAAAAGTGGCGAATGTTTAAAATATCTTGTCCCGCTTATTTTACTAAATTAATATTGTGGTTTCAAAAAATTATCATCTGGTATTCCAAGCCCCATTATAGATGTCATAGAGTTCATCAGGTCAAAGGATGTCAACCAATTATCGCAAGTTATGTTTCGTTTTCAAGTATGTCTTGTTTTGCCGTCAATAATTGCCATATTTGTTTGGCTTATTCGGGAGATACTGCTTGAAAGCACCTCTTCCCCGAAATCCCTCTCATTAATGGTTCCATATTTGCTGATTGTGAAACCATTGATGCAAAGAAAAAAGAACAATCATTGACAAATATTGTGCATAAGTCTTCTATGGGTGCAAATTTATTAGACAACTTTCTCTCATCTCTGGTATTAGAAGTAATCTCAGAAATATAAAATGGGCAAACTCTGGACAAATCAGATTTACATCTTGGACTCCACGTGTAAATGAACATCTTACTTGACAGTGCTATTGTGGAAAAGTTGCAAAAAGAGCATCTTCTTAAACTTAATCTTTCATTTATACAATTTCTCTCGAATAGGGCCCAAAGGTGTCTTAAATATACTCTACTCCATCTTCTAAGACTGTTTCCACTTTATCTAGTTATACTCTAATTCTGTGCCTAATATGTTTATTCTGTTGTATCTGTATGTAAGTATCTGTTGCTGACGAAAAATTTCGTAAAAGAATCTATTTTAAAATTAAAAATCTTCGCTAACTTTTGCATTCCATATTTTCCATCTGCTTCATATACCTTAAGTTCTATTGTGGACTTCCTTTCTATTTTTGTTGATCGAAACTTTTTTATCGCGATGACTGTCATGTTTGTCTTTTCGGGGTTTTCTTTTTAGTTCTTCGCCTCTCTGCATAGGATGAGGACACTAATCTCATTATAAACATGTCCTGGATCTTATTCTGTTGGCTATGTTCCAAGGAGGAATGTACGGCTCTTAACCTTTGAAATTATTTGTTTGTATCCGAAAGAAAGTTAGTTTTCAGCGGTTATGGCTTCCAAATATATGTTGTAAAAGTTACACACCTGTTCGACTTCCTCTTTTCACGAGAGTTATTATTATTCTAATGCATCATTAATCTCGAAACTTATGCATTTTTTAAACCAATTTATCAGACCGGCAAAAATAATTAAAAACGGCCTTGTTTGTAACTATTAAAATAATTATAAAATTTTTTGGTTGCTTCTTATTTAATATATAACCCTACAAGAGTATAAGTAAATCACAACCAAGGTTGGAAATTTTTGATCCAACATGGAAGAAACTTTCTCTTCGAACCCAGTCTTTGAATCAATTTCTTCTTGAAGTATTAACAACTTAAATTCGTGCTGTAGACCGTACTGCGTCTGCACATCATGTAGCAAGTACCTCAGTCTCTTCCCCATAATATCATAAATATGCTTCGTATGTCAAAGGTTGAACATACCTCATATTCTAGTCTTTTAACAAAAACTTCTTTGTCATGACGGGACTCTATATTTCAGGAGAAACTAGACAGTCGGTGTACTTAATTTTATTACTTCTCCAGTAAAGTTGTGAGATTCCAATCTTGTCCTTTTAGTTACAAAGAAATCATCTTAAATGTTATCGCATGCGAATCACCCGTATATAACATTAATACAAGTAATAAATATGAAACTTTTAGATTTCAAATAACTCAAAATCAGAAGAAGTTTGCTCAAATATTCCAAATCATGTTCCTTCAAGTCCACGTCCTAGTCCAGAAAGAAAAGTCGAACCCGTCTCAAAACCGCCGGAAGAATCTACTATTAAAGAAGAAGGTGATACACCAAAAGTGCTTGAACAAAAACCTATATATGAGGAGTCATCTGAAGAAAGTGAAGATGAAGAAGACGTTCGGGAAATGGAAGGAAGAACGGTTTCAAAGAAAGGACAAGAGGTAAGATCGATTGAATTAAAAACTAAATTTGTTTATTTTAACTTTTAAATTAGATCGATCGAGCTAGCGCTGCTAACCTGAAAAGAACCAAAGAAGAAATAGCCGCCGATCCCGAAGAGGAGGACGATTTCGGATACACAATGAGTAAGTAGCTTTTTTTTTTCAATAGAAATTTTAATTTCAAAAACTTCTTAAAAGACCACTTTAAGTCTTTTGAAAGGATTTCTTTTTGAAGTCTTAGCGACATCTTTATTTGGTAAATTGAACCCTCCCGAACAGAGTCCTTTACAAACAAAGTTTTTCGTGAGTCGTTTCCTATTTAGTTTCGTGAAAACGTAAAACGTGGAAGAGAGTGAGAGAGAAGTTCGGTTTCGCCCTCTATACGAATTGACCGATTCAACTGAAAACCGTTGCGCCGTTCGGCGAAATTTCAGGCGAACTTCAGAGGGCGCAGCTGATCACCGGTCGACGTCGCGACGTCGTTTCAGCAGGCCTTCAGTGGACGTCTGAACGTCGAGCGAAAGCTCGTCGCGCGCTTTCGCGGACGTTGTGCAACGCAGTGGCCCAGTAAACGTTTTTTTTATTCTCTTCTAAGAAAAATCTCGTGCGTTTCGTGTTTACGTTTTATCTCACTCTCTATGTTTATTTTTTTTTTAACACTGTCTGTTGATATTTGAAATATTTCTAATAGTTTTGTGAGTAAATTTTACTTTTTTCTTATGGTAATACCTGAACTGGCTGTATTTTTAATATTTGAATTGGTAAAATTTGGTAAAGTGACTTTGTTTACTTTTAGAAAATTTAAATAATATGCAGATTTTTAAATTAAAAACAAAAACGGGGTTACTTAATTTATAATTAATTCTTTAATTAAATAATTTTTTTTATTTTTTTCTACATAAAGTAATCAGAGTTTAAAATTATTTAATATTTGGGTTTGTTTGGTATCATAATACGCAATTTTGAAATGAATATTTATTGTTTACATTTTTGGTTATGAGCAATGATGGTTTTGATAAAACATTTATGGTAAAATATGTAAAGAATTGAAATTTTTATATTTGTATATCATTTTACTTGCCGATTTAAGAATGTTTACTACAGACAAAAATGGATCGCTTAGATCGTGTAAGATCCAAATGTGGGTTCCATTTATGGATATTTCTAGGCCACATTATGTACATTTCAAAAAGCAAATCAACAGCGTTAGTTTAAAAACACCTTGATGTTGTTTATGCATTATTCAACATTTTTTTCGTGTTTGTTATCGAGTTTCTAAAGATAAAATGCAATATAAATACTAAAATAAATTTACTAGAACAAATTCTTAACATTTTATTCGTGTTTTTGAGTTGATTAGAATTAATTTTTATTAATGCGTGTTAAAATATGGGTTTTCACATTTTTTTAAACTTTATCTAGTTAAAGCTTTCATTTAACATATAATACATAGTTAGTTATTATTGGTTGAATCATTGCAATGTATATCCATAAAGTTATTTTGGGTCCCAAGAGATCTTACCTTACAGACCTATTCAGGAGTAGCTCCATTTATATCACTTCACTTCTGAACCGCATAGATATTTTGCGAAGCTAAAATCTCAGTGAGGTCCCCAGCTAAGTCGTGAAATCACTCTATAAATTTGACCACATCGGCGTATCTCTTTAGTCTACACCCAATGTAGATGTTCGACTTAATTGAAATCGTTTTGAAATCGATATTCAGTTTTACTGATAAATGTGGTCATTTCCATATATACATTTAAAAGGGCATGTGCAAGCGTACTTTTGATTCTTCTTGGAATTATCTTTGAAAAAAGTAGTGTTATATCTCCAGTTTTTAACTTATATAAATTTCCACGAATTGAATACCCGTGGTATACTTCGATTTGAGGTTAGAAAACGTTTTAAAGGATTATTTATGACCTTATCCTCTATTTCCGACCTCACGACCGCTTCCTGGTAAGCCTGATTTTGTGTTTTCAATTTTAGAACACATTACTTTTAATCCCTTAAACCCACACGAAGCTTTTCATTATGTATTAATCGATGATTTGTTTATATATTTTATCTAAATACCGTCCTTGCCGCATTATAAATGCTGTATCCATATAGATGGTAAAAAGATTATGATTTTGCCACAATATTTTACTCTCTTCACTTCTTAATCTATGTAAAAAAAGTATCTTTAAAAGATTTTGCATCACAGTCTATAGTATTTTCAACCATCTATTTGAATTGATTTTATTGAGATCCATGACAGCTTCATTTGTGAATCAGTTCTAAATTAGATCGTTCTTCTACTCTGCATACTTCCAAAATAGATCGTCCAAATACTGGCATAAATGGAACTAAGTGTGGTCTTGTATTTTTTGTTTCTTACACGAAATGCCTAAGATTTCGCATAGCTTTTTTTCTGTTTAGTTGCCCTTGTTTTGCGATTTTGTAATATCTGTTAAAATGTTAGTAGCAACTAAATTGCCTTCTCCATGTGTTAAAGATAACGTCATAATTGTCAAAGTGTAACTAATTCTAATAATCTTCTTCTCAATGAAATGAGAATTCTCTTTAAAATGGTTGCCGTTTTGTGCGCAATTTGTTGTATTATTCCTAAAACTCAATACAATTCAAATCATCAAATTTGAATTATAACCACCTTTCGGTATCAAAACGTGATAAATTCATTTTTATGTTGTTCTCAATAAATTATTGCAATAGATGTAATTAGCAATTCTAGAGGTAAGAATTTTTAATGTGGGAGATGAAAGTTGATTGATTAAATTTCCCGCATAATTAAGTCATTCATTTCATTTAAGTTTCGAAGTTTATCGACGTATAGTTTGGCATTTGTGTTTCCCCATAAAAAATTTAATCAAAAAATTACCGGCATTAATACGTTTTTTAATATAAAAGCCAGTGGCTCACAATTTACGGCAGCTTTAGCTTTAATTTTAAAAAGAACATTTCACAATAACTTCAACACAATTCCCAACGAATAGTACTTATGCATTGTACAGAGTGTGTTAATGAATCTCCCGGCTAATTGCTGTCAAATTTAGCCTATTATCCAGTCCACTTTAATCCTCATCAATATTTGATATGATCTTCATTAGTAGACTAGCATTATTTCTCGACAGTGGAGTCTCTTTCATGACGTGTCTGAACAACTATCAGCTAATACGAATGCAAATTTGACGAATGATAATGCAACACGTTTGTCACTATCATGTCGTGTAACTGAAAGCAGGAAAATGAATCTTTCATTTTTTTTGTGTGATTAACAAAGCTAGCTTTGTTTCCATACTTTTGAGATTTATTTGTTATTTTCAAAACGTCACCAAAAGAAACTTTGTAAGCAGAAGAATGTTCGATGTCAGCAGGAGAAGAAGATTTAAACAGACATTTTTAACTCCACTTCTCGAGTAGTACATTTTACTTTCATCTCGACTCTCTGACTCAATAGCAGACTTAGAATGTACACTTCCGAATTCTGCATCATTCAAATCATTGTCACTTTCTTGTATGTCATTATTTTCTGGTTCCTCATTGTCGCTAACATCGGATAAATTGTTCACAATATCTTTCAATTCAGCATCTATTAGAAAGCGATACATTTTGTATGAGCGGCATTTATTAAATAGGCATAATCGGTATTGTTGGGTTGGGTTGGGTTGGATTTTTATTACTATATTATATCAAAAATTATTACATAAAAATTCCTCCTTTGGTTAGGTTCTATAAAAATATCGCAAATACAATTTAGGTAAAGGACGTTGCAATCAATGAATCAGAATATTGTGCAGCTAAACCATTCAAATATATTTCTCTTTTAATTAAAGTATTATTTACTATTATAAATTTTATTAATGCAGTAAAACCTCGAACAGATAATGCTACTGTTAGTTCTAGTTTTAGTTGTTATTCAGCGTTAAATTGTTGTCTATTTCTAATTGAACTAAAACTAGACCTACAACTTGAAAGTTTCTGAATATTTCTACTTCTAGGTCTAATGTTATAGTTTTAATTGTTATTTAACGTTAGATTGTTGTATATTCTTATTGAATAGTAAAAGTTTAAAAAGTAGAACTAACACTAGAACTAGAAACATTCTGATTTCGCCGTCTTAAGAGACGCACGGCTAAACCCGAATGTTTCTAGTTCTAGGTCTAGTGTTAGTTCTACTTTTAATTGTTATTTAGCGCTGACCTCACGAACGGATCTTCGAATTGTGCACCTGTTCCCAGGATGTAGCAGTTCTCTTAGATTACCATCCTTGGCATAAATATAAAGCCACGTAGACTCGGTTAATTGTCCAAATTTTTGTGCATTAAAATTATTCATATAATGGACTTTTGGCTATAACAGACACTCCCTTCCTCGTATTAACCCGTTATATCGAGGTTTTACTGTATTTAAAAAAGTTGTTAGTTTTTTTTCTTATAATAAAAGCCTTTTATAATTTTTTTCTGCTTTATCGGAGGATTAAAAGTATCCCTACAATGAATTGGATGCCCATAAATATCTCTGCATTTCGCTAAAAATGATTTAATTATTAACACAACTAACACCTAATTTTCAATTATTTACGTGGTACTACAACAACTACGTTAATAGGAGTATTAATATGAATTGTACATAAAGCAATTTTTGAAATATCACCAATTTTAGCTGTACATTCCAGCGATCCATTATTAGCAACGAACCATACGTGAGTCGTATTATACCCCGTTGGAGCGAAATCTAACAAAAAATTGTTAGTTTATTTATAACTTACTTACCAAGAGTTGTTAATTTTACTTACCTTCTATTCGTTTTGGTTGGCACACAGCAATAAATTTTTTTAAATCGTCCTCCATAGTGCAAGGATGAGTGTTATTTAGTTTTACTATTATTTGACCGTTTGTTACACCCAGAAAGTAAATTAATAACACTAATTTCACCGCAGGCGATTGCATAACGGTTGCCTTTGTCCTATTAAAAGATTAATGATCCAATTGCGTATGGATTTGACTTGTTTGTGCTGCAATATGTCGAGATATTTTGTACAGTGATGTAAACGAGTATAAACCCCAGAGTGGAATTTAGTGTATATTTATTAAAAATAATTGCAATATTATTGTAGCATTTTGCATTCTTTATTGGATATTATTGCATTTCATAAAATGAATAACAAACAAAATTCTACGAAATGTTAGTTGAATTGATTGTTACATTTAATGGGATTCCCGTAAATGTCTCTTCCACACCTTGCTAAAATGTCTTTATTAAAAAAAATGTATAATTATTTTTTGTTTCACTTACGTGGTAGTGTAACATGTCCACATCCTGCGGCTGATTTGTTCTCTTCGCAAATCGCAATTTGAATAACATCATTTAATTTTGCTGTACATAATCGGTGGTCAACATCAAACCATACATGAGTCTCATTATAATTTTCGTTAAGTTCAAACTCTAAAAAATATTTATTAATATTTATAAGAATAATTTACATACCTGTTTTTTCACCATCTGTTGGTTGGTAATAATAATTTCTATCGCAAACGTGATGGGTTTGGGAAAGATTTTCATCTGGTATCCAACAGAAATAACTTGCATTAATATTTATTACCATGCCAGTTGTTTTAGTTAAAAAGTAAAGTAACAGTGATATTTTAAAAAGTCTCGAATCCATGTTGATGATTGCGTGTTATCTTACATGTGCGAAGATTCGATGCTAACTCAAATAAAATACATCTCTGAATCATTTTGTTTCTTGGTAAGCGTGTGGTTAACACGTCAATAACAACGTCAACAAAATTAAAATTAAATAAATTAGAATTAAATATAAGAAATAATTGCTTTTTTGTGTAAGCTAATTTTGGAAGTTTAGGATTTTTTTGAAAGAAGGTTGAGTTGTATCGCTTGGTCTTTAATCTATAAACTTGACCAATACGAGAAATGTTTCGTTTTCGAAATGGTTAGGATATGATTTCATGTAAAGTTCTACATTGTATTTTGCTAAACATACAAAATATGAAGTAGTAATTACAAGATTACATGAAAAATAACGTTAGTAACAACAATATTATTTCTTATTTTTTAATCACATACTACTTCAATGTTATTGTTTCTTAACAAGTCGGTTGAGTCACGGAGTTTAAACACAACTGTATTTGACCTTCGTATTCAGCGAGTATTATGCTTTGAATCGTCTCAAGATATTGATCAATTATAAAAAAGATAATTGATGTGTAATATTTAGTTAAACAGTTTTGGATGTACTGCAGTTGTCCGTGTAATTTTGCTTTATTATTATCTCACCGATCGTAATATCCCGAAAGTAAATTAGTAACACTAATTTAAAAGCATTGGATTGCATAATGGCTGCTTTTGTCCTATTAAAAGATTAACGATCCAATTGCGCACGGATTTCACTTGTTTATGCCACAGTGTGTTGAGATATTAAGTACAGTGATGCAAATAAGTACCTGTATGAATTTAATATAAAATATTTATTAGAAATAATTGTAACATCATATTATATTTTAAAAACTAAACCACATTAATACTAATTGAATTGATCTTTATGTTTAATTGGATTCCCATAAACATCTTTTCCTCGTATTGCTAAAATTTGTTTATTAAAAAAAATTGTAACCATTTTCCATTCTACTTACGTGGTACAGTAACATCTCCACCGGCATAAATTTGTGTTCTATTGTTACAAATCGCAATTTGTACAACATCATCTAATTTTGCGGTACAAAATTGGTGATTAACATCAAACCATACATGAGTCTCATTATAATTTTCGTTAGGTCCAAATTCTAAAAATTTTATATTAATATTAATAATAATAATTTACATACCTATTCTTTCACTGTTTGTGGGTTGGTAATAGCTGCTATCGCAAACATGATGGGTTTGGGTAAGAGTTTCATTTGGTAGAAAACAAAAATAACTTGCATTAATATTTATTAACATGCCTCTTGTTTTGGTTAAAAAGCAAATTAACAAAAATATTTTTAAAACGCTCGGTTGCATGTTGCCTAACACACCACGTGATGTTTATGGCATTAATAACAAGAAGGTATGGAGATTCAATAAACAATGCATATAAATATACATCTTTGAATCATTTTATTACTTGGTAAGTGTTTGTTGGGTAGTGGTTAATACGTTAGTAGCACTAATTTAAAAGCATTGGGTTGCATAATGGCTGCTTTTGTCCTGTTAAAAGATTAACGGTGCAATTGCGTATGGATTTCATTTGTTAATGCCACAGTGTGTTAAGATATTATTTAAAGTGATGCAAATAAGTACAAATACTGTATCAATTTAATATAAAATATTTATTAGAAATAATTGTAACATCATATTATATTTTAAAAATTAAATCACATTAATACTAATTGAATTGATCTTTATGTTTAATTGGTTTCCCATAAACATCTTTTCCTCGTATTGCTAAAATTTATTTATTAAAAAAAAATTGTAAACCATTTTCCATTCTACTTACGTGGCGCAGTAACATCTCCAACGCCATGACCTTGTGTTCTTTTCTCACAAATCGCAATTTGTACAACATCATCTAATTTTGCGGTACACAATTGGTGATTAACATCAAACCATACATGAGTCTCATTATAATTTTCATTTGGGCCAAATTCTAAAAATTTTATATTAATATTAATAATAATAATTTACATACCTATTCTTTTACTGTTTGTGGGTTGGTAATAATAGCTGCTATCGCAAACATGATGAGTTTGGGTAAGAGATTCATCTGGTAGAAAACAAAAATAACTTGCATTAACATTTATTAACATGCCTCTTGTTTTGGTTAAAAAGCAAATTAACAAAAATATTTTTAAAACGCTCGGTTGCATGTTGCCTAACACACCACGTGATGTTTATGGCATTAATAACGAGAAGGTGTGAAGATTCAATGGACAATGCGTATAATCATACATCTGTGAATCATTTTATTACTTGGTAAGTGTTTGTTGGGTAGTGGTTACTACGTTAGTAACGTAACATTAAGGCAAATTATAAGAAGATCAGATTTTTTGTCTTCACTTTTCTCATTTTCGGGAATTACCTTGTAAATTTAGAATTCTTTTTCCAGACTGTTTTTACGAGGTAATCACGAATTTGAAAAGTCAACTCAGAAAAACTAAGTGTATGCGTAACAGCCGACGTCTTTAATTTAGACAAAAGAAATATTCAGTTTTAAGATTAGCAAAATGTTTTGTGATTCGTTTGAATTATCCTGCCGGGTTGAAACTTGTGCTGCGTTATATAACCCGTCTGTAAAGTGGTGGCGAAGACAGCTTCGTTACGTCTATTCGGAGTTATAGGGTCCTTATGCAGTTAGAAGTTCGTAATACATTTATGACCCCTCAGTCAATTTGTTGGTCGATTGAACGGCGACCACTCCTTCGTTTTCCGAGGTCTTTTCCACATAGATTGGGCACTGTCGATATCAGATCCGTCCTGCGTGGCCCATATCGGGGTTATACTAACACGTCAGTCCTGATATTGGAACATCCTATCAATGTAAATTAAGTAGGATATTTCACGAGTGTTTTTAATTTCGTTGTAACAAAGCTGAGATCCTCGTACGATGAGAACTATCTCGAGATATGTCTGAAGTTTGTCAAACAATTTTTTCAAGCGTTTTCTATTCTTTTGTTTTGCATTTTTAGTGGAAGTGTACACCGACTAACTTAGTTAAACTTTCTCCTCTCCTCTTTCGAATATGTCCAGATATTATCAGCTCTGATGTAAAAGCTCTCTGCTTTTCGCTTTTTAGCGTAATATCTTTTCAACGTTATTGGATGATTCAAGGTATTAAATTTTGTCGTATGATGTCTATCATTCTTGCATGATGAAATTTGTGTTGTGTCACTATTTTTGTTATCAAAAGGTGATCTAAATTAAGGAAATTGATTAAAAAAATATAAATTTTTGATTCTAATACAAAAGATATTTGTTTATCGTTTTATTATTAGACTATTTATGTCCACAAAGCAAATTTGCAGAACGAATTTAAAAGCATTCCATTACATAACATTTGCTTTTACACTATTAAAAGATTAACGATCCTATTGCGCGTGGATTTAACTTGTTTGTTGCTGCAATATGTCGAGATTTCACAGTGATGATAATGAATATAAATCCAGGTATGAATAACGTGGGATGCACGTTTAATTCTCTTCACACAATTAAATTGGTTATTGTTTATTAAATTCCATATTGAGATTATTAGAAAATGGGTGTAACTGAGATTAATTGAAGCAATTACTGCTTTTAATTACGTTTCCATAAATATCAGTTCCACACTTTGCTAAAAATTACGTTTCTACATAAAAAATAAATACAGAAATATTCATTTAACTTACATGGCACAGTAACTGATTCTTCTTTGTGCGCTTCCTTATCCTCTTCGCAAATCGCAATTTTAATAACATCACTTAATTGTGCTGTACATAATTCATTATTTATAACAAACCGTACATGTGTTTTATTATAGCCTTATAAATTTTTAAAATATTCATTAATATTAATTAATATGAATTAATATTATTTACCTTCTTGTGATTCACCTTTTAATTGTCGATCGTTGTTATTGCAAGTGTGATGTGCTTTTTTGAGATCATCGTCTGGTAAAAAACAGAAATTATTTCCGTTTATATTTATTACCATGTTAGTTGCTTTTCCTATAAAGTAAAGGAACAAGAATATTTTTAAAACACCGTGTGACTGCATGCTGTCCAATACGTCTTATTCAGGTTGACAATATTAATAAGAATATTAAGGTTTTAATGTTATATATGGATCGTAAAAAACATTTAATTGGATAATTATTGGTTAGTTATTATTATTTTATGTAGTTACAAACCTGTTTCGGGTTTTTCCGTTCAACCTTTGTGTAGGAGATATCTTTCCCTAGTTAAGTTAATTTTCATTTTCTAATTTGTTTATTTACGTACTTGTTAATCATCACTGGTGTCAATGAACGTTTCAAGATACCACATGTAGTTTCTTAATTTGCGTTTTTCAAGAGAACCAGAAATGTTATTTTGCGATTTGGGTTATCTATAATATGTTTTATAAGATAATATTTATAATATGTTTAAAAATAGTATGTTAAGGTTGGAAATAGATTCAACTTAGCAGCTTCTCTAGCGGCACTTAGACCACATCCAACATCTTACTACAACATCTTTTGAGGTATTTGGATCATATTTAGATGTAAGTACATCAGAATGTGAGAAATTTGTAAATTATTGGAAGAATGAAAAAAAATGATGATGATTGACGAATTGAAAAATCTTGGTCTTTTAGGATTTACAGAAGTAGGAAATCATAATGTTCTTCCTCTTAATGATAATAATCCCAAGTTTGTCTCCAAGGTGACATATCTCTGTGTAGTCTTATTGTTAGTCAAATGGTTGAGACAGAACTCTAATTTGCGAGAATCTAAATCCAATGGCTTTGTTGACGTACATAATTACCACGACTTAAGATGACCGATTGTTTGATGCTCAGCGCTAAATTGCACATTAAAGGCTTGCACCAAATGAGCCAAATGAGAAAAAAATTAGCTGCTATTTATATATTAAAAGATGGGTTTGTATACATAAGACGATGATATAGTATAGGTATTTACTTATCTTACTTATCATGAAACAAATTTGGATAAGATACTTATAATTAATTAAATTGATCCGAACAGTTAATGGGTTTTCCATAAACATCATTTCCACAAGGTGCTAAAAATTGTACAACCATTAATTATTAAAACAATACAAATATTTTACAGCAAAGTAATTACGTGGTATTTCAATAATCTCTTCGTTATATAAATTGTAATCTTCACAAGTAGCAATTTCAATAACATTATCCATCTTTGCAATACATTGTTCATTATTAAGAGGAAACCATACGTGAGTATCATTGTTTCCTTCTATAAATATACCACCTATAAAGGTCATAATTATTATATACACTTTTAAATTATTATTATGATATTTAATTTACATACTTCTTTCCTGATTTTTATCACAAAAATGATTAATTTTGATAAGCTCATTATCTTCTATGTAACAATAATACGTTTCGTTTATTGTTATATCCAAGCCGGTTATTTTTCTTATAAAGTAAATTAATAGTATCATTTTAAAAGCACCCACAATCATCATCTTTGTAGATGCGAAATTATCTTTCACGAAAATTAATATATACTGGTTGGTATGCCAGATTGCAAAGAACCAGAAAATACTTGAAAAACCTGAAATGCAATTTTGTTATATGGGTTGTCTACTCGTCAAATTATAAAATATTTACTAAACCTTGAAAATAACCAAGATGATGTTTACTAGATATTTATTTTATTACTTATTGTACTTTACCCAAATAATTACATAATAATTATTCATTTTACATGATCAACACATAATTTAAGAAACAAATTACGAAAAAATTAAAATTTATAAAGTGTAAGATACTTGTTATCAATTAAAATAGTCGGAACATTTGATGGGTTTCCCATAAACATCAATTCCACAAGATGCTAAAAATGATATAATTACTTATTATAAAAAGAACATAAATGTTTTAGAATAATTTACGTGGTAATGCAACAACCCTATCTTGGTATGGATAATATTCGCATTCAGCATTTTGAATAAAATGATCCTTTTTTGTAATACATTGTTGGTTATTAAGAAAAAACCATACGTGAGTTTTATTGTGTCCTTCTACCAATTGATTATTATCTATAATTATAATTATTATATACATTTTTAAGTTATTATTATAATATCTAATTTACATACTTCCTTCGCTATTTTCATAACAAAAATGATTGATTTTGCCGATGTCAACATCTTCTATATAACAATAATAGGTTGCGTTTAGTAGTATATCCAAGCCAGTTATTTTTGTTGAAAAGTAAATAAGTAACACCATTTTAAAAACACCGATAATCATCTTTGCGAATGCAGGATTATCTTTGACGGAAACTACGAGTTACTCAAGAGAACCTAATTAATGAATGCAACGTATCAGAAAAACCACAAATACAATTGTTACTTGGGTTGTCTATTGCTAAAATTATAAAAGAAGAGTTTAAAATATTTACTCAAACATGAAAATTGCTAAGACCATGTTTATTGCAACAAAAAAATGAAAATGTTTGCAACAGGCGAAATTTAGATCTTTCACTTACACTATCAAAACTAAACGACAAAAAAATTTAACCCAACGAAAATAAAACAACCAGATGCCATTTCCACAAACTACCCGAACTCTCCAACCTAACTTTGCCTCGAGTAAATAGCGTCGATAACGTGGTTTAAAAACAGTCAAACTATAGCATGGACGGATGGGAAGGTTATTTCACTTTTTTGATTTTCTATATGACAAAAAATTTTCATACAGAGTACTTTTATGTACCTATCGAAACTTAGTTTAGACTTAATAACTCTTCGACAGAAAATGGTGTGCTGACCCGTATGCAGCTCTTAATTTAACACTCCAACATGACAAGTTCACAATCAATATTTGTTTTGCTCTCTATCGGAAAGATACTATATGAAAAAATATTACAAAATTAATAGAATAGAGAAGCGATCAGCTTTGTGCTGGAGCAGAAATACTGCAAAAAAACAAGAAGTACAACGAAATACGAATCAAAATGTATACAAACCGATCTAACTGTAAGAAGATGCCAACAAGACTACAGAGATTGTATTGGTGTTTAGGTTCTTCTATTCTAAATCATTCTATTTATTTCGCCAGGTTTTCTTTTTCCTCCGTTGTTGCTATGCCAAAAAATTTGTTAGGTTCAACTCAAATTTTACATGACCAACAACCCAACAACTTTCTAATTAGCTATCCGGCTTATTACTCTAAGTAACAAATTGTTACTGTACCACATATCTTGATTTGATCATCCATAACATTTCTAATTATTCTATTATCTTATTCTCACCTATTACGTTAACCTCACCTAACTTGGTGGAATGGTTTTGATACTTTTTCCCTAATGTTAGTTCTTTCAAAGGAAACTAGTTATATTTATCATCAGATATTGTCTGGATGTCCATTAAATCTGCATGTCCTCTTGACACAAAGTATTTAGAAGAAATTTGTTTTACAAAATTTTGTCAGGTTTTCAAAAATGCAGAACTTAAAATCATAATCCGAGAAGAAAATTTGGAATTAACTAATATTATTAGAGATTCTTAGGGAGAATTTAAAAATCGTCTATAAATCGTAGAATAAACTTGGCTTGATAGAACCATAGCAAGGATTTGATGATATGACTTAATGTCGAAGATGATATAGAACAAATTTCCTTTACGTAGGGATAAAGCAGTTTTTTTCGAAAATGTTGCTGTTAATATACATATCAGAACAAAATCCTCTTTCATATACAAATAAAGAATTTATAAAAAAAACAATGATGACGTCATAACTGCTTTGAATATGGCTGAAACAATTAAATGAGCTTAAAAAAAATCTTATTTAAAGAAATGATATAAAAAGTAATAGAATTAACTACAATTGTCGCAACATTATTTTTCATTTCCGGTGTTAACAGTAAATTAGTGTTAAAAGCGAAATAACGTGAGAACGTGTTGTTGGATTAAAATGATCAATCGCTGTGTTATTTTTTATTTCGTTCTACTTCTTTCTCATTTTACAGGAAATATATTTTTCGAAAGTTAAACGTCCGGGTAGGCCGTCCTCGTATCCATATTGATTCATTAACTTCGGGATATCGAAACGTCCGTCGGAACGCTCCTTTTTCCTCTATTTTATTTCTTCCACGGAATGGAGCAAGATAAATCAGTTAATTTATGTGTCGGGGCTTCGTTAACACGAAGACCACTTTCTCAATGGCATTACACCCGAATTTTTCACCGTAATAACCAAGGCCCTTATTACTTCCCCCTCTCATGAAGAATTATTACCGAAGGCGTAATAAATAACGAGTCTTGGGAAATCTCCCGTCTCTAGAACCAAGTTAATTAATAGCTTGCAAGATATTTTGCCATTAAAGGTCGAAGCTCCTTTTAGTAACATTCCTTTATTTTTTATGAGGAAAGTCACTCGACCGATTTGTTGATTAATATTATAAATTAAAACGTTTTAACTTTAAAATTATAAATATAAGCAACTAAATTTGTATTTTTGTAGCAATTAATATTAATCCACATTTCTTTAGTTTCTCATATATCTCTTTTACGACTTATATATATTTTTATAAAGGTGTTATTCATAGATAATTTGAGACGCCTATTAAAATTATTATAATCATATTGAGACCGAATGTTTAGTTTAAAAAAAAAGAATAATAAACCGACTACTCACCAATGACTTGTTTATAACTTGTTTTTAAGATTCCAATGTATGATTCCAATCTACTTTAGTACCTAGAATGTTTATGTAATTATGAAAACTGTGTAATATAATAGGTGATTTATTATTTTAAAAAATAAAAAGGTTTTTTAGACCGGTTTTTCTTGCTGTTTACTACGATGCTAAAATATGTAAAAAAATAGGTATCTTAACTAACTAAATAATAATTTAAACTCTTCTCTTTCTCTTATCGAAAGCCTTATGACTTGTTATGACGCTTCGTCATTCCTGGTTTTGCTTCTCCTGTGATAATGAGGTCCAGCTATTTTTCCATTGCTTTGAAGGACTTTCTGTCAATCTTTTTATGTACATTTTGATTACCTGATATTCTTGTTGCCTTTATCGCTTGCTTTGTGACGCAGCTCTTTATGCAATGATTTGTATCCCGAGATAGACCTGCTCAATGATCTGCTTTTGCACTACAACTTTGTATCTAACGGGCGATTTTGCGATGATGTTTATCTCGTCACATCTTCGTTGAACTCGTTTAGAAGACGTTGTAGTCCATCCTCCGATTCTGCGATGATGATGGCGTCGTCTAAATAGCATATAATCTTCATTGTTGTTCTTCCCAGTATATATTCGTCATTTACTCCATCTAGGCCCTAAGGCTACCCTATCAGATTGATGTTGATTTTTATGATATTCAGATGTGTGTTTTTGCAATGAGGAGTTTCATTACGTCAAAGCCTTTTTGAGGTCCACGAAACAAAAATATGCTGGTTTATTGAATTCTAGTGCTTTTTGCGATTTGATGGATGATGACCACAAGACCTAGCACAAAATCACATTCCAAGGAGAGCGATAAATATCAGCCATTGACTACATAATTTAAATTCATAAAATAAAATTAATACAAGAACGTTATAGCAATGTTTTGTAATTTATTATGTTTTGTGTTATATTTATAAAGAAGTATAGAATGGAATACATTATTGACTTTCTTATTTATTAAAATCCGTTCCACATGTAATTGGTTTTCCATAAATATCTAATCCACATTTTGCTGAAAAATTGTTATTCTGTTTTTAAACATAAAATAAGCATATTATTATTTACTTACGCGGTATAACTGCTATGTTACCAGGAGGTAAATGAAAAGTGTGGCATGAAGCTGTATTTAAAACATTTTTTGTTGTTGCTACACATTGTAATTCTAAAGCTTTAAAAGGGAACCATACATGAGTCTCATTATATCCATTCGAGTAACAGTCTAGAACAACGATATTATTTTACTCATTTAATTTTCTTTTATAATTAAACAATAATAAAACCTTACCTGGAATATTACGTTTATTGCATTTAACGCAAGAAAATGTTGGTTTTATTAAAAGATCTTCTGTGATATCGCAAACTAAACCATAACGTACAAATATTGACTCTATTACTCTATTACACAATGATAAATTTATCGAAACCGTTAAAATTATTATCAATTTTAGCTCCATAATTATAACGAACGTTTATTTAAGTAAAAACACAGAAATAAACTGATTCTACTTACTATTTATTGTTCTGGAATTATATACATTCCAAATGTTAGAAAGGAATTACGCACGCATTTATATAATTGCTGAGTCACGATTCGCCATGTTACAAAATTTATTAACAGGTTTCTTAGGAAATAAGGTTACATCTGCAAAATTAATACTTTGTTTTAAATAATGTTACCCATAATTTGTGTTAAATCACCAAGTAATAAAGTTCTTAATTCTTAACAAAATTCTGTGAATGCAAAATACAAAATGGATTAGAAGCACAGTGGGATTGTGTAACAATATGGGCACTCCGCAACAAATTAGTAATCAATGAAACCGTCATAATCACAAAAGGTAGTATGCGGTTCATTTACCGAAGTGGACGGCTTGTTTGAAAATTAGTTCGTCTGACAAGAGCCTCTCGCTTACATTCGATGAATTGGTTTTGACATTAATAGCATCGATATCCTTTGTAAATTATATCAAGTATGTACTCTACATATCTAAACATCTCTTATTTATAACTTATTTATACTTTTATCAACAATCTTCATGCATCTCACATAGCTAAACATATTTCGTTTAACCTTGAGAGTATTTACTTTCAATCTTCGCGTACAAAGTAATATTATCCTTTCATCAACGGTTGTTAAACTTTGGTAAACTTGCAGTCATTGCTTTCAGCATATTCCTGTTGTGCTTAAATAGTAAAACTCTACTTCATGTTGGTGTCATGTATAATATTGTGTGTAAACTGCCAGAGTTTGTTCCTTTCTGTACTTCCAGAGTTTCATAGGTTGGGCTGCTTTTTCTAGGTGCAACCTTTATCTCAAATCCGAATGTGGTGAAACATATAAATTTTGTAAAACCTCTCTGTGGACTACGAAAAAGTTCATCATTTTCAGAATATGACTAATAATCTAGTTATGTTAGTGATATGTGAGAAAATATACAACCATTTTTAAGTCATTATATAAACGTTCTTATTAGAAACAATAGCTGTTCTGCTAAATTATGCCACATGACATCTGATTCCTCAAGAAAATCTGGGATGTAAGGGCCATAAAAAGATACGTCTCTGGAGAGATGTTAACTTTTGAGAGTCAAGAACAAAGTAACAATTTCGGCAAACTGAATTTTTGTGGGACTGATGAGCCAGATGACTTAGATATTATTTGGGAGCCCTTTAGAATGAGAAATATATCGAATTGCGAAGCGTAAATACTAAATACAATTTATCTAGCGTACTCACAACTATAACCTTAATATAGAGTTTTGAAAGCATTTGACGCATGCGTAATAGAATTCCTCATCAATACCCAATTAATTCCCCACCAACTAATTTGATGATAATTTAATAGATTAAAAATGTTATAAATGCCCAGAAGTACTCAAATAAATTGCAGCAAAATAACTTTTAAAATCTTTGTTTTCAATCTTAATATAGTATTTATGGCATCACAGTTATTGTTAAATGTGGTTTCTTTTTCATTCAAAAGAACACAAAACTTAATTTGAATACTGTAAATACCAGAAATTCCATTTGAGCGAAATGTCACGATACATTCCATTCAAGGGCTCTTTCTACGTGAAAATAACGTGAAAGTGAAACTCGAAATTGCTTTTATACGAGTTTCCTCTTGTAACGGGCGCACCCTCTTCTTTTTATTTATTAATTTAACTTCAAAGGGATCCCGTAAAAAAATTACCTCAATTTTTAGATAATAATATAAATTTTTTCGGTTTTTATGTATTTTTCGAGAGCGGTTGAACAATGCTCGCTTTCTACAAAGCACAAACTTCAATGATAAATGGTCCAACGTTTCATACAATAGAGATGCTGCTTCGAAGTCCCTGCTGTAACGTTCAGCACGAATTAGCTACAGCTAAATTGGTATATTGTAAACGAGACCTCTACTTCGAAAGTGTACTTTACGTTTTAGGGCCGAGAGTTCGGTGGTTTAAATCGATACAAAAACCCCTCTCCCACATGAATCAGTCAGTTGAAGGCGATGTCTTGTTCCGTTTCTAACGATGTAATAAATCCTGCAGGAAAATATTAAGCAGTATTAATTAAACCGTTTTATTGTTCTACCACTTTCTGGAAGACTATTATTATCTATCTTTACCCTGGAGCAATTTAAACCCGTTTATTGACGTCACGTCATTGGATCGTAAAAAGTTGTTTTTATTGATGTTTGAAATTTACGATTTCGAACTGTACATCGCTATGATCTTCATAAGAATTGATGTTTGATGGGAATATTTATCATTGAACTGTACTGTTGTTACATTTTGTCGTAAATTTACAAGTGATCCAACAAAATAAGCATCGAGTTAATCAGTTTTTTGGATGATTTATTCATAATTCTTAAAATGGCAATGAAAAAACCGCCCCTCTTAAAACATCCTCTCCAAAAAAAACTGTAATTATACTCATTTTACGATGGCGGTATTTTTCCGAGTTTGCAGAATTTTACTGCTTGAAAATAAACTTTTTGATACTCTATAATACCCTAAAATGATGACGTAATTTGTGCGCGCTAGATTGTAATTAAATCCAGGAAAAGCTTTTACCCCAAGCCGAAAAAGAACCATTGTTCAAACGTCGTAATGACGGGATAATTGCGGATTCTGTTTGGTTGGTAGCTGAATCGATAGGAAAGGGTGCAAACTGGCTTAATTATTTTTTCCATTTTACTTCGCCTTGCATTGAGATTACCCACACCCAATCGTTCCAAGTGGAGGTTATAAAAATGTCTGCTAAGTAATTGGAGTTTGATGTTCAATACGTTTAGTTACTTACTTTATTGAAAATAAAACTTCAATTATATCTTCATTTAATTATGATAATTGTAGGAAAGCATATTAAAGTAGTGAATAGAAAATTGGCTTTTTAAAACCCTTCACAAGGTTTTCTATTCATACTGGGGTTGGCCGTGGATATAGCTTCTATAGTTGGTCCTTTAAGTTTTTACGTTAATTTTAATTCTTTTTAATGGTGGTGTTCAAGTATATTCTTCCGTAGTCTTTTATCAACAAGTAAGCACCATGTTCAAAGGCCGTTACGATAGTAGTAATAGACCCTTATCTTGCGGAGTCATTTAAAAGACGTAGTAGTGCGCAGTTCACTGAACAACACACGACAAAACTTGCATGGTTGAATGATGCCTGCGTTGAAATCAATCGATGGTGAACAGCGTTTGCGAGCTATGACTTTAAAAGTTAAAAGAAGAATAAAAAATTATTTGAAATGCGTGGGGAATATTACAAATATCTTTTAATGTTTTTGTTAGGTCACGCAGAACTTATTGATTTTTATTTTAAATATTTCATAAAGGTTATTCTTCAGTTGTATCAAAAATCACATAACTTTATTTGTAGTTCATTAACTAACTTCGTTTTTATTTAATGATAAATCAATTTCAGTTCTAAATAAATCATATTTGCTGTCCCCTAAATCCACACTTATAAATATTCTATAAGCTACTTCGTTGGCAAAAAAGTCTTATATAACATCCTATTAGGAAATTGTAATTACGTCGGAATAATTAATGTTTAATATATTAATATTAAACTATTATTTCTGGAATATCATGTGTGGTTTTGATGGATTGCTTCAAAATGAAAGCACAATTAGTATCTAAGTGTACCACAATGATACCTTGATTTTAGATTATCATGAAATAGAATTACATACATTGTAAATTCTAAGTTAAATAGAGATATTAATCTTATAGTAATAGAAGTATACATCATAATAATTTATTTCTTTTGCCGTCTCTATTTCTGTCAGGATTTTATTAATTATTTTAACATGCAACATAAAATCTTGCTAATCCAAAATTGTCGGTGTGTGAGTCTTGTTTATTCGCCTTGAGTGCAGTATCGCGTGCAACAACAAAACTATGAAGTAATCCCTTGAATCTGAAAAAAACGTAGTACGTGTTTGCGCATTATAAGTACACAATAATATTTACTTTCAAAAGCTCATTATTTTTGCTCAGTGTTTCTTATTTAATTTATCTCGGAAGTATCTAGAATATATGGATATTAACAATTCCACAAAGTAATTGAAATAATATAAAACTGATCCTTTAAATTCATAAATGCTGTTAAACAAAGATAAACCAAACTTCATAATATTAGAAACTTTATTTTATTTCTGAGTGGAGTGTAATCGTTATCTATAATTAAAATGTTTCAAAAACAAAAAGATTTTCAAGACTTGGTATGCAAAATGTTTTAGCAGCATCATAATTTCAAGATATTTGGCTTAATTCTGACTGAACAATAAATGAAATGAGAAGTTAAAATTCTTCTCATATATGTTCACATGGGCTTTGTACCTTTAAATTGCGGCATGACATTTTTATTTTCTTTAAAGAAGAACGCTACAAAGATACAGATTAGATGCTGACTTATTCTGAAGAAAATTGAACAAGCAAAGAATGTTTTTCAATATTACAGCAATTTTTGACATCAAATGAACTTGATCTTTCTAATGATATAAAATCTCATTTTGGGGAAGCATTTATCACAGCTTTTATCTGTTATGAGAAACATTGTCAAAATAAAATTCCGATAAGTTTAAGTTAATTCAAGTTGCACTACCTGATTTTACTTCTGCAGAAGAAAAGAATCTTAACAAGTTAACTTATGATAACAGTTTGAAAGGAAAATTTGGGAGTAGGGAATTCACAGAATTTTGGATTTCAATAAAAGACGACTTCTTTTTATTCCATTTTCATTCCAAGAAGAAGATTTTAGTTGCAGAACCTTATCAGAATACTAGGCAGGGTTCAAATTACAAAAATACATTTTCTTGATTTAGCAAATGACGTTTCAAGTAATCAACTACTTTAAATGTCGATTGATTAAAAAATGACGCAAATTTGATGCTCTCTATAGAATTTTGTAGCAGATTATGTGTAAACTTTGTACAAAATTGGTGAAGACTAAATCTTATCTAGACTTGAAAGACATTTTATGGAACTTTGACGCAGATTCGATATGA